TGTGAAATCAGGCACGGACTATGTAAGGCACCACTGTGAAATCAGGCACGGACTATGTAAGGCACCACTGTGAAATCAGGCACGGACTATGTAAGGCACCACTGTGAAATCAGGCGCTCGTCAAAAAAATCAAACCGAAGAAAACGTCATTTTCCCACCGCTTTGGCAGTTTTTATCGAATTTTTGTTTTTTGTGTGGATTTTATTGAAAAAAGTTGATTAAAGGCACACAAAAAAATGAAAATTTTCCGTTTCCAATTACCCTCAAGCTATGGAATTTACCCAACTTTGGTAGCCCTTTTCTTGTTAACTATAGGCCTACCTCTCACACCACAAATATCTCGACTTCCACCCAAGATAGATGGGTATTTTTGTAACCGCAAAAGCAAGATAAATGAACAAGCTGTAAGAGGATATCGATAACTCCACGACATGCCCAAAAATGGACGAGCGGCTGATTTCACCGAGTCGTGACAAATATTGGTTATAGCAATTGAAGAAAGCGATTTTTTAAAAAAAGAGAAGCATCCAGCCACGTGTGCTAACTTCTAAAATTCATTTTTTTTAAACGGGTGACCCATAAACAATATTATCAGCATGAGAACCCACTTTTTCCTCTCTGGAAAATAAAGTTACGATGGTGTTTTTGGCAAAAGTAAAGTCTAAAAAAACTGGAGATCAGAGCCAAAGAACGACAACAAAAGAGACAGCGGTCATAGAATTTAAAAAACATTTATTAAAATGTCAGTTTTGATACCCACTTTTTCCTCTCTTGAAAACAAAATGAATGTGTTATATTTGGCAAAACTCAAAAGTCTAAAAAAAAACCAGGAGAACCAAAGAACAACAACAAAAGATCTAGATCTAGCTGTCATTGAGTTTTTATTTTTTATTTCTAATATTTTTTTTAATGTTTGTTTTTGTAAGAGTTTTACCGCGCTCGTAACTGCATATGGTCATAATATGAGCACCAGAAGATTAGAGGTGTTACAACAGAGTAACAAACATGAAAAAGAAGGAGAGATAAAGACGATAGTTGTTCAATAGGAAAGAATAAGAAGCAATTAAGTAGTTCAGGGTAATCGTTAATCGTAAAGCGGATGAAATCTATTTCCAAGCATGTGTGTGTTCGCTATATGTGTGTATGCTCTGTGTGTGTGTTCGCTATGTGTGTGTTCTCTGTGAGCATATTTGTTCTGAGTTCGTGTGTTCGCTATGAGTGTTTTTGCTGGGTGTGTGTTCGCTCTGAGCAAATTATTCATTATGTGTGTGTGCCATGAGAGTGTTCGCTATAAGTGTTGGAACTATGAGCATATTCGTTATATATGTGTGTTCGCAACGAGTGTTGTGGCTAAGAGCATATTTGTCATATGTGTGTGTAGTATTATAGGGTTTTACGGCGCTCGCAACCGCACTCACATATGTGCGCTATGTGTATGTTTGCTGCGTGTGCGTTCGCTAAGTGAATGTTGTCGCTATGTGTATGTTTCTCTATGTGCGTGTTCACTATAGGCGGGCAGTACTGCATACAGACGTGTCTCAAAGGCAGCCAAAAATGACATACGTCTGTAGGCCTATGCAATTCTGCCCGTGTATATCCCTGTTAAATTCTTATGTCAGAACACAACATGCAATGGGTTTTTTTTATAGTAGAGGTTTTACGGCGCTTGCAACTGCATAAGGTCATATGAGCGCCAAGGGGTGGGTGTCAACAGAGAAGTCCTTACAGGGAATCAGACTTATTCTGCTCACCTCTCTAACTTCAACAGCACAAGGTCTGCTTCGACTATCAAGGTACCCCGGAAATAGCAGGTCACAAGAGAGTGACAAACATACAAAAGAAGTAGAGGAAAATGACAATAGTAGGGATTTTTTTTTTTTTAAGCCGCAGGCCCCTGTTGTAGATCAGGCACAGTTGTGAGCATGACAAGAATCAGCCCATTTACAATTCTACTATGCTTGAACGAGAAATGTCCCCCCTTTGGGAATGGCCTAAAGACACTACAGTCAGTGGCACTGCCCAGAGGGGAGAGACATAATGTACAGACAGGAAGAAAGGAATGCTCACCGGCAGGGTTCACATTTAACCGCTCGCCTACAACAGACTTTGCATTGTTTTCGACAATTGTGGAGACGGCAACGATATTCTGCCGGGCAAGGCTAGGAGCATTCTTCAGGACGACCCCGGCGTTGAAGTTCACGGGCCCACTGCCGCTCAAAAGTACCTGCAGGAATTTTTGCAAAACCAATAATAAAATATAAAATAATGAAATATAAAATAATATAATATAATATAATATAATATAATATAATATAATATAATATAATATAATATAATATAATATAATATAATATGTGAGGCAGCGAGGTGGAATCAGGCTCTCGTCAATTTTTGGGAACATCATGTTATTGGTATAATCTTTAAAAGCTTGTTCACTTGTATTTATTTGGATGAAAAAAAATATCCGTTTATCTTAAATACAAGTCGAGATATTTGAGAATGAAGGAGGTGGGGGTCACTTGTTTCCAGAGGTAAAATTAGTTAGAAAATGGCCGCCAAAGAGTAGTTATTTCCTTAGCTTATGAGTTCGTGGTAACTTGAAAATTTAGATATTTTGTGCCTTTAATCAACATTTTTCAGAAAAATCGACATCGAAATGAGTTCTTCAATGGGCATGAAAGGTGTTGAGCCAAAAAACAAAAATTTGATAAAAATTCACAAACCAGCAGAAAAATGCAAGTTTCTTCACTTTGATTATTTTGACGAGAGCCTGATGCCACCACGCCTCACATATTTGAAAAGATCAAGAGATTCAGTACAAATTAATTCAAATCTCCACAACTCCTACACCAGTTACAAGAATTTCTTTGCAGCTGTGCTACAGTCTGCTGTGGACAGACTCCGGTCTTTTCCTTTGTAGGATCAATAAATGTAAAACCCTCAGACACAACAAAGTCAACACATTTTACTGAGTGCCTCAGCAACATCCATTTTAAAAAGTGAGACGTGCTGACAAAATGAGTTACTCTACTTCTCATAATCCACAAAATATGGAAACATTGGCTAAAAATCAAGACTATCGTCAAAATTGTCAATTTTCTATTGATGCAAATTCTGTAAGTATTACCAGTCTTTTATTATTAATTTTATACATATAAATCGAAAAAACTTCATCGATAAGCATATAGGGCTAGAATCCAAAAAGTAACTCATTTCGTCAGCACGCTTCACAAATTACAAACGCAAGTCTTTGTATTATTTTTTAGATTTAGCACCAAAAAATGGCCCCGGCATAGTGGGTATTACCCACTCCCCGCAGATAAAGAGTAAAAGAAATACAACAATCTCAACGTATCTGTACCTTGCATGTCTGGAGGGCCTTGTGATTGATGATGGTGGCAAACTTACTAAAAAACTCCTCATTTCTCGTCAAGCAATCCTTCAGCGTTTCTTCTGGCTGCTTCGCGAGTTCGTCTAATGAAATTATATAACTACAGTTTTCAAACGCTTCGTGGGGGCTTGTGCAGATTTTCACCCCTCTGAGGAGGTGGTGAGCTAAATCCTCGGCCTCCATCGCCATCCCCGTGACGGACTCTACTTCGTCTTCCGAGTTCACGAGCAGGCGCAGGGTCATCTCGATGTCGGGCCCGAGCACGTCTCCCGAGGTGAGAATGTTCAACAGATGATAACACATGGGGTTGCTGGCGTTGGTGATGCACACATGGACCGGCTTGCTCAGCGCTTTACACTCCTGCGCCTCTTGGTCCAGCTCATCTTTGGTGACCTTGTTCTCGCCGCTGACTGTGCGCATGTCGTAGCTGTTCATGTCCGACTCCAGGTCGTAGTAGGCTTTCACGTACTCTTGGAATTCATTTGCGCCTCCGATAAGGACGCCTTTTCCTCCACGGTCGATCAGCTCTCTCCAAACAATGGGAGATTTGGAAAACTGCCATCCCTTCTCTTTGCACGTTTCCTTCAGCCATTTCTGGGGGAGGAAAATGTACATTAAATGCGTTACTAGCAATGTTTTTTAAAAGTGTTAGTAAGAGTTTTACGGCACTTGTTACAGCAAGTACACTTGTTACAATACAATACGGTCATATAAGTGCCGAAGAAACATACCAAAAAAATGAGGAGAAATCAGGATGATACATGTTTGACAGGAAAGAAGGAGCAAACCACACCACAAAACCCGCCAACCACCTACTTGCAAAGTTTTTAATATCGTGGTTTACAAAGAAGAAAGTCATTAGTCTTGAGTTTCTATCAGGGAACAGAAAACACGAAATGGATGAACGGGGAAAACATCCAAAATCTGTTTGGTTTTCTAATAATTTCAGTAAGGACTAAAAGTTTTGCTAGTAAAAAAAAATACAAGCAGGGTATAATTATTATAAAGTAAAGAACCTGGAGCTACCTATACTACAACTTATTTTTGTTGGGGGTTTTTTGGGTACATGTAAGCGTTTTACAGTGCTCGCAACTGCATAAGGTCATATGAGCGCTCAGGACACACTAAACATTAAATTTCAGTTGGTAAAAAATTTTGAATTTTTGCCCGGGAGGCAGCTGAAGCCTACTCTTATCAATTTTAGACAACCAAGGGATCTTTAACGAGCGCAACTTGCACACGGGCCTCCGAGATTTTTCACCTTTGTCCGAGAAGGCTAGGTGTAGATCTTTCCTTCCAGAAGATCAGGGGTGTGGCTGAAAGACAACAGTAAGAAGGAGCCAAGGAGTAGCAGTAAAAAGGCGGCAGAAAGAGTCAGGGGCCCAGAGGAGGGGGCAATGGAAGTGAGGGGGTGGGGGCATAAAGTGGAGACGAAAGCAGAAGACAGAACATTGCTAGAGAGCAGGAAAGGAGTTGAAAGGAGACAATTTTAAAGAAAAAATGTGTCCTTCGCTACCCGGATTCGAACCTGGGATCTTTGAATGAGAAGCAAACACTTTAACCTCTAGGCCACGAGAGCCCCCCCACGTACTACAGCTTTAAAATATGTTTCACGGCAAATATTTTATTGCTGAAAGCAATGAAAAAAAATGTCCCAACAATTAATACCCCAGCAGACCCAAGAATATGACTCAGAAACACTTCAGGCTTCCCAGTAAGCATACAGTTCAAGCTGCAGATTACATGCGCTCAAACAGTAACAAAATGATAAGATATATCGCCGGTAATCCTTTCCCACCTGTGTACAGAATGGAAATTTTGTTTAAAAGTGACGGTTGTTGAGTGGTGATAATAAATAAATAAATTACATTTTATTGATCTCCCTCGGAAAATTTGAGTTACAATGGCAAACATGCACTATAATTAGAAATACTCACATACATAAATAGACACATAAATACATACACGAATACATAATATCACACCAATAAAGAACAGTTCCACAAACATGCCATTGCTGGTCGCCACTGTGCAGTACCCTGTGTTTTTAGCTAAGGTTGTCTTGTCTTGCTCAAGGACACACTCCAGTGACCATCCATCTAAACCCCGAGTCACCGACACTTACTTGACATTACTTTTGAGTCTGAACTCACTCCTCCCTTAGTCACTGGAGCCCCCTATACCAATGCACCAATGCTATTCATTTATTATTCATATATTTATTTATTCATTGGGTGAATTCTGCTAGTCCTTGGCTCCTTCTTACCACTGTCTTTCAGCCACACCCCTGACCTTAGGGTAGGTAAGATTGAACACCTAGCCATCTCGGATAAGAGCGAAAAATCTTGGAGATGTTGCGTGCAAGTTGAACACGTTAAAGATCCCTTGATGGTCCAAAATCTAGGAGAGTATAGGTTTTGGCCGCCACCCAGGCAACATTCAAAATTTCCTACTAACTGAAAATGTCTAATGTGTCTGGCGCACTCATATGACGCAGTTGCAAGTTTCATCCTGGTGAAATCATGCATTTGTCAAAATAATGAAATCAAAGACATCAGCATGTTTTTGGCTGATGGAAAATTTTTTCCCATTTTTCTTTTTTTGGCTCAACACCTTTTATGTCCATTCAAAAACACATTTCTTTGTGGATTTTACTGAAAAACATTGAAGAAAGGCACAAAAAAAGTAATTGTTCAGGTTTTCAAAGAGTTTCAGGCAATGAAAGTTACAAAATTTTGGCAGCTATTTAAAATTTCTTGATAATTTTACCACTGAAACCAGGCGACCCTGACCTCCAACAATCGCAAATATTTCGACTTCTATTCAACATAGATGAATATTTTTTTCACCAAAAGAAAGGCAAATGAACAGGGTTTAGGATGATACCAATAACCCCATAAGCCCAAAAATTTTGACGAGCGCCTGATTCCAGCACGCCGTGACACATATTGATTGGGTGAACTTTGTGACTGACCTCCCACTCATCCGGTTGTATCATGATCTTGTGCAGTTTGAACTTTTTGAGATTTTTTGCCAGGCGATCACCGATCAGTTCAGCCCTGGCATAGTAGGGGCAGTCTGAGCGGCCTGAAATGTACAAAGTCATCCAGATAAAGAGACATGCATATAATTCATATTCAACCCCCCCCCCCTAAAAAAACCCTAAAAAAACAACCTACAAACAAACTCATTCCTCACCAAGCTTTAACTGGTTCAGCCCGCGGATAATTTTTACTTTGTGCACAAATAATTGGTGACCGCTTTGTGACTTCACGGGTGGTCTCACGAAAAGTTAAGAAAGACATCCAAATTTGAAGAAACCCCTAGATCTATGAGTGCATATACAGCTGAAATGTTCAGCATAAGAAATACTATACTATTAAATGACACCAGATGTAAGCCGCAACCTCAGTGCTTTCTTGTCGCACCTCCATTTTTAAACAAAAGTGAAAACAGTTCATAACAAAGAGTGAACTTAAGAAGAAGTCACATTTTCATTGTTAAAACAAAATGGAGATACGACAAGAAAGCAATGAGGTCGCGAAACTGTAAGGAAAAAAAATAGAGAGGAAAGTGATATGAAGAAAGGGAGCAATAGATAACACAGGAGACAGTCAGCCACTGTGAGCGGCACTGCAGACTGAATCAGTTATAATGGAATCCACAAAGACACAGAAAGAAATCAAGTTCTAAAGGTATTGGGAGAAGGGACTTAGATTCAGAAATTAAATAGGGGATATAGGATATTTGAGCTGGACATAGGTGTGGACTATAGCCCTGGGCAGAAGTAGATGGACAGCTCTTATTTTGGCGGCATACATTAGGTACAAGGGGAGAAAGGCTGCTGCTGATGATCATGATGATCATGATGATCATGATGATCATGATGACTTTTAAAATACTGCAAGACAGACAATGAAGAACAAGCTTTTGCGGCCTCGATCCAGGTCATAACCAAAGACAAACCAATTTTTTAAACCCAAACCATCAATTGCTGTCAGAACCTAAATCAAGTAAGCCTATATGTTGACTGACAGAGAGCAACCAAACATTATATTATATCTGCTTGTCAAAATTAAGGAAGCTTACAGACTGACAATAAGAGTCTAAAAGAGAATTAAGAAAAAAACCGATAACAGGCCTAAGGGTAGACACTGGTCCTGTCACAAGTGGAATCCCACACAGGGCTTTTTGGGAAAAGTGAGGATCAATTAAGTTCCAACAGCTTCAATGACAATCCTGCTAAAGCAACAAAAATTGCTGTCTTGAAAAAAAAATCAGCTGAGGGTAAGTTTCATCAAGATCTTTTAAGGAAAAAAATAACAAAGCAGCAGAAAAAGTAATTCGTCAGATAATCAGTATATTCAATGAGGAGCAACGTAAAAAAAAAATTGATTGTTTACCAAAAAGGACTAAAATCTACTAAGGAAATAGGAGGCCCACAATTAAATCTACAAAACGTATACATCTAGATTGACTAATCTAGACGTGTAACGATTAATAAACAAGCACCTATATATGGACTTTCAGAGTTCAGTTTGCTAGTCGCTTGAAGGTAATAGACAATGAAAGGAAAATATACTGCCCTGCATGCCAATAGCAATAGCCTTTATTAGTGCTTGCAACTTAGGCTAGCAAGTTAATAATTCATCAATGACAACTTAAATCTTAAATTAATTAAGATCTAAGCAAAAGTTGACATGCGGTTTGCAACCAGACCTAGATCTAGATTTCGATTATTTTTTCCATATATCAAACCATGATGAGGCTCAATTTGATTGCATATTTGAATTTCGAGTGTTGGATGGGATTTAGTTCTAGATCTAGGGCCTAAAAGTAGATCTAGTAAAAGACATTTAAGTCGGAGTCAGAGTTGGGTTGGAATTGAGTAGACGTATATACTACAACAAGTTAGCTTTGGCCTTCTTCAACTAGCCTTTAGGAATCGTTTATAATCCAGCAATAAGTACACAGAAACATAAGTTTTCCCTGTATTAGCGCAGAATTGAAAATAGTAAACATTTGACAAAAGCAACAACAAAAGACTATCTATTTAGTCAATTTTTTTTACCTGCAACAACGAACTTCGCCATCTTGTTTATGGTTGCTAGGATGGCTGGCTTGAAATACTGGATCGGAACATGGGGAATCACTCTCTTAAAATTTAGGGTACTGAAATATTTATGCGAATATTGTTGCCCCTTATTCAGCTGGGGAAAGAAAAAACAAAACAACAAAAAATACCTTGAAGAGAAATGGAAAGCTTTTTTTCTGTAAGGTTTTGAAAAATTATACAAAACAGGAGATGAGATTAACAGTTTTAACTTTTTATGTACAAGACAGAAAAAACACCGAGAAAGAAAGCACAATGGTGATATATTTATTATTGTTTTAAAAATATTAATTCGTGAGTTCAAAGTTCAAAATTTAATTCTATAGGTCCCGTATCACAGATGAATAGAATTCTGTGGTCCTGTATGGACTTATTAGATAATTAAGGTATTGTTCTAAAAAATAGTTAGGTAGTAATAATTATTGGCTTTTAACTTAAGTTTCCATAAACAATAAGCCTTCTGTTTAGGGTTGTTTTTTTCTCATTTTCTAATACATGTAGGCTATACACATAAAACATTTTATTATAGAGGGTGCTGTACATAGAGCCTGGATGTATAATATTATATAAACACTATAACTATAATTTGGTCTATATTCCTATTTATTTATTGATTAATTCATTGATTGACTGATTGATTTTCCTCACTCTTTGGATGTTCATCAGCAGTGTCTTCCGTTCCTTTTCTTTCTCGAATGTCTTTCTTTCTTTTTTTCCTTCTTTCTTTCTTTCTTTTTTACTTTTATCTTTCTTTTCCCCAGTTCATCTTGTTTTTGTTTGTTTTTTAATTTGTTATTATTTTATATAATTTCATAACAATATTATGCGGAGATGGAGCAGCAGCCTATATCCGGATATTGTCTGTCAATCTGAGGCATCGTTTCCAGCTTATTAGTCGGTAGACGTTTAGTGTGCTGAGTTATACGGGGTGCCGACTACGCTGGACGGGGCCGATCGCCCGATTCAGTCGTCTGAAACTGAAGACAAACACGCACAGGTCTATGCAAACACGTTTGTTAGTTTGAGGCGACCGAGTCGGGCGATCGGTCTGATCAGCCGATCCCATCCGTCGTGGGCACCCTGTATAACAGTTAACAGGTGGCCTTGGTTGAATCCAGAATGAGGCATTAATTTTATGAACGTTCGTTGTTTAAATTGAAGAAATTTTGAGGCTTTCCGCTCACTTTACATATCGGAGATGGACGTCAATTCAAAGGTCCAGCATCTGTAACAAACGTGAAAGGATAAAAAGAGCGCCAAATCTATGCAATGATTGAGCCCCCCCCCCCCTCCCCCCCCCCAAAAAAAAAGCAAAAAAATTAAAACAACAACAAAACAAAACAAAATAATTACCTCTGACGTTTTACTTGTGTGAATGTCATAATATTTCTGTACTTTCGATTTTGACTACATCTATGTGCCATGCAGCTTTATTATTTTGTATGTTTGTTTGTTTGTTTGTTTGTTTGTTTGTGTAATATATCCCTGTAATATTAGTTAAATGAGCAATAACTGTGTTTGGTTCACTATCGTTAATTGCCGTAGTTATGTCTCCTTATTTGAAAGTATTAATTTGGTACTCTTCAGGATGAGCAATTTATGTTATGATTCAGTAGTGTCATAAACATCCAACATGGTCGGTTGCTGTTTTCAGTGTACGATTGTTGTGCTCGGTGTGTATCTAACTTATTATGAGGCTTCATAGTTTGTTTGTTTGTTTGTTTGTTTGTTTTGTTTTTAACCCGTCCACTGCACAGCCCGAGACTGTCTCAGGTTCTCTGGTTAGACTTAAAGTAGAAGCGAATTCCAATGTTACATACGTAATATTATTCAATAAAAAGCACCCGATTCTGTACATGGCTTGATATGTCCCTTTGTGTTTGTGGAGGGGTGGGGAAATGGGGAAGATGGTGATAGAATCCTTACCCCGAACAAATAAACCCTTCACATCCTGCTCCAAAACCTCACCCCCCCCCCCCCCCTCTTTAAACCCCTCACCCATTCCCAACTTAAACCTTACCCAGCCCCAAAACTCAATTTTTGGGTCTGGCAGTGAAGAGGTTAATAGATCTATGACACAGGCCTATAATTAATTAATTTCAAATTACCCCCACCCTTTACATTTTACCAACTAGCAAGCTAGCTAGATTACTGGTAATCTAAACTGCACTAACTAACTGTCCCAAGAAAAGAAATAGAATGAAATGAATATTTAATTGAACAAGCCCACAACGATAAACCCTACACGAACCAGCTAGAACCTAATGCGTCGGCACAATTAATGGAATGTAAACTTACACTCGAATGGGCGGTAAACTCATTAGTCAGTTCTTGCATAATTCCCTCCCGTCAAACGACAAACAAAGCCCGCGCCTGCATTATTGATGAACGTGCGAGACGAGGCAGACGTGTGACGCTGACGTTCCAGCAAACCAACACCGTGCGCGCGCGAGCGTGCGCGTGTGCGTGCGTACGTGCGGACCTGCGCTGCGTGTGTTCCATAGACGTATAGGATAATCCTAGATTTGCACTGTTGTACACATCCGGTTTATCACGGATCGCACAATTATTTAAAAAAAGTTTTAGTAGAGGTTTTATGGCAACTGCATAATAAGGTCATATGAGCGCCAAGGGGTGGATGTCAACAGAGAAGTCCTTACAGGGAATCAGACTTACTCTGCTGATATCTCTAGCTTCAACAGCACAAATTCTGCTTCGACTATCAAGGCACCCCGGAAATAGCGGGTCACAAGAGTGTGACAAACATACACAAGAGGTAGAGGCAAAATGAAGATTGTAAAGATTAGGAAAGAAAAAGCAGCAGTTCCCTGTCGTAGTTCAGGCACAGTTACAAGCATGACATTGTTAGATCAGCCAATTGAAATGTTCAAATCTACTGTGCATTAGAACGAGAAATATCCCCCTTTTGGGAATGGCCTAAAGACACTTCAGTCAGTGGCTCCCCCC